GGGCGCACGGCAGCCACCTGAGTGGCGAGGCAGCGTCAGGTTAGCGGGGGCGCCCGGCGAGACCCCGCGGCGAGGGGCGGGCAGCAGGGAGCCCGGCACCGGGTGGGCGGTCGAGTCGCCTCTGCGACTGTCACCGCGGAACTTTCTCGCGCACTTAGGCTGGGGGAGCCTGCGACGCAGGCTGCGCGCTGGGAGGCGCGGCGAGGTCCCGGCAGCCAGCTCCTGGGGGTCGCAGGGATGCTTCAGTATCGGTGCGGGGCGGGACTGGGGGCGGGTGGATGGGGACACCCGCCTCTCCGGCTTATAACGTGAGCCTCCTACGGCGGGGAGCGCGGTGTCTGCCGCACGCTGCCGAGGAGCCTCCCGGGTCTCCCGGGGGAAGGGGATGCCGAGGTGCGGCGGGGGCCTTCGCCTGACTCCAGGTCGCCCCAGGCACCGTGCCTCAGTTTCCCCGAAACAGGGGGTAGGGTGTAGTGTCCTGGCGCCACAGGCCCTGGGTGCAGGTTCTAGGTCCGGTTCCGGGAGAGCGCCGTGTCCTGATGCCGCAGGAGTGCGGGAAGCTGTGGGTGCTTCCAGCCGCCGCCTCGCGACTGGAGCTTTCAGAGTTTGTCGCATTTGACTCCATACCAAGTTGACATCGAATTGCTTCATAGCGTGGAAAGGGAAACGTGCTTCTTTCGGCTTTAAAAAAACAAAGTAATTGCAGAGCTGATTTATTTTACGCTCGACCTGCCTTCCCCTCCAAAAAATTGAAGCTTGCAAGTTTCAAGATGTATAAAGCAAGCTAGCAAAAAAAGGTCTGCAGGTCCATTATCTGCTCACACTGTAGGAAAAATAACCTTTTATGTTTGAATTGCCATTGTTTTTAAAGATACTTGTTACGGAAAAGTTTGGTTACTGTAGCAATCTTTTTGTGTTAGCTTTACATTAAGAAGTTGGAAGGCTAGCGTTGCAGAAGTGCAATGATATTTGTCAAGTTTTCCCACTTTTTGTAGATGAAACACTTTTTTTTCCAATTGCTACTATGCTGAGCATAGTAAAATTCTTCAAGATGAAATGCAAGATGGAAGATTTATTTTCAGAAGAGTGCATTAGAACAATGTAGTTCTACTGGCATTTTACTTTTATTTTATTTTAAAGGCAATTTGTAGATCCCACTGTGGTTTCTACTGTTGGTTCTTCCTAAAATATTTAATACTATCACCATTCTTAGGATTATTGGGTCTACTAAGAGTAAGGTAAGCAATCCTTGTTTTAATAGGAACTAGTTCTACCTCTAAAGCTAGAGTCTCAAGCCTATTTCCATAAGTACCACTTAGTGGGTTCAGTTATTTTTATATTATTATTAAGCTTATTACAAAACTTCTTGTTTGTGTTCTTGATAGACCTTAATAGACTTTAAGGGTGCATTGACTTTTCATTAGATTGTGAATAGCTTTCAGTGTTTGTTTTGCCTGCTATGGCTCCAGCTGTAATTCCAGCTACCCTGGACGGTTTCCCCAAGTGGGCTCTATGCTCTGCCTAAACATAACAAATTTAATAACAGGAAAGGCTCAGAATGTCCAGACAACGTGATTTCTATTTCTACAAGTTAGACCTATAGTCCTCCATTTTATCCAATTAATGTGTTCATTGCCCCTAAATGCATTTCTAAATACATTTATAGAAAAATTTAGACATTTGAACAACCCAATGCAAATATTGAGAACTTTTTCTAAAAATATGCATCAGGTTAAAAATCTGCCATGAAGTAACGACGCATGTGCGTACAGCTTGTCCTGTACAGCAGGTCTGGTGTTCTCAGGCTGCATTCCCAAGTGGGAGTGAGTACCGGCTCCCTCCACCCCTGGGATTTTCCTGACCTAGAGGAAGCAACTAAGCCTTAGTTTTTTCTTTGTGAATGTAAGGTTTAATGCAGATCAATAGGCCCCTTCTGGATCTAAAAATCATATCAATATATATATGTGTATATATGTGTGTATATATATGTGTACATATATGTATTTCAGTTAGGGAAGACAATGGAATTTAACAGAAGACATTTTAAACACCACTCTTGGCTTCAAGAACTCCACACTCTCTTAACATAAAACTAACAAAACCAACGGGATTTAGATTGAAGAGGGGTTTCATTAGTGCTAAAGAAAAACTAGCGAAGTAGATTTTGTATTCAAATTAGGGAATGAAAGTATTTCTTTTGTACCTAACTGTTGGGCTCTTGCAGCTCAACTGCCAAGCACGTAATTTTTTTATTTTCATGTCTTTAGATTTCCATACTGTGTAGTGTTGTTAGTGACGTTAGATATTCGTAGCGAACTATTGCCTTTCCATAATACAGTCAAGCCTCAGTTCTCCAGCATCTCCCGTCATGAACAATCTGGTTCTTGGCCAAGTTCTCCACGGAACGGATGTCTCTGCTGTCACACAGAACTCTGGTTCTCGACCCCACCACCCTTTTGTGCTGATAACCTGTCTGATCAGGTGACAGACGAAGGAGAGAATGTGTGAACAGGAGTCACACATTCATGTCTATTCGTGAATATTTGTCTGGTTGTTTTTTGGTTTTTGTTGCTGTTTATTATTATTACATATGTACAGTAAGTCACCATGGGTCCTAAGGAGGTTAGTGACACCAGCAAAGCAACAAGGAAAGCTGTGAGAACAAGGATAGAAGTTAAAAAAGAAAGAATTGCAAAGAGGTGTTCCAGTGTCCGATCTGGCTTCCGAGCGTGCCATGGCGACATCGGCGATCAGCCCAGCTTCAAACCATAAAGAGGCCGTCAAGAGTGCTCATGTTGCTGAGGGTGTGAACGAGCTCCTGAAACGGCCATCACAGGCACCTGAGAAAGGTTAAAACTGGGACTCGTCTGTGGGCTGGGAACGGATTCATTCAATTTATATTATTTCTAATGGGGGGGGATGATTCGGTTTTCGAGCAAGTCACTTCTCGAACAGCCTTCCTGGATGAATTAAGTCCAAGAACCAAGGTTCCTCTGTAGACCTTTCCCCATTTGCGTGACCTTAATTGACTCAACTCCTTGTTTGGCTTGCAATTTAAATATTTGAGGCTACTGAAACTTGGCTTCATTTGAACTTTCTGTTCTGTGTTTTGAATGCAAAAACTTCCAGATTCTGAAATACCAAATAAATGTTGTGGCAGAGTTGCTTTTAACCTCCAACACAGTACAGTCAGATTTGTTAGGAAAGTGTCTTTTTTTTTTTTTTTTTTAATTCATAAATCGTGCAGATGACATCTGCACTAACTCGACATCTAACCAAGCACCTGGGGTGTGGCCTGTCCTTTTCTAGCCAAGCCCTGGAGGACACTGAAAACTATGACAATATTTTGTGACCCATGGCAAATCACTTTAAAGTTAAAAATGGCCTTAGAGGCAAGTGGTTGGTTGTAAGTGAGCTCTGCCACCTCTCCAGAATGGTTAAAGGAGAAGGGAGTTGGCTGATTCTGTGATGATAACCAAGTAAGAGCTGTCAGAAGTCGTTTCTAAATTGTTCTCAAAAGAGAAGTCCTGTGCATTTATTGGTCTTGCCTCTGCCTCCACCCGAGGTCCTTTCTCATCAAAATATCACTATTCATTTTTCTTCCCCACAATCTTTTATAGTTAGGCCCCTGAGGCTGCAAAATGATTAAGACAGTGACTCACAGTCCAGTCAGAGAGACATGCTTGAGGACAGATAAACTATAGTGCAAAGTAAGTGCTGCAGGAGAGGTGGTTGTACATGGAACTGAGGAGACTTAGGAATGAGCTCCTTGGGCTGAGGAGGAGAAGGGGCCTCATGAAAATAGTGGCATTTCCACAGGACTTTAAGGAGTGCCTAAGGCATTGGGCAGAGAAGCCGACTTTCCAGGCAGAAGGAACGCTACTGTGGTAGTTAAAATGATCGTTCCCCTCCCCCAAAATATATTCGCTTTGGGGCTTTGCAGGTGTGATTCAGCTGAGGATCTTGAGACGGAGAGATTTCTTAGGATTATCCAGTGGGCCCAGTGTAATCACAAGAGCCCTGGAAAGTCAAAGAGGGAAGCAGAAGTCAGCATCAGGGTGATGCCACATGGGAAAGACTTGACCAGCCATTGCTGGCTTTGAAGGTGGGAGGGGTCCACGAACGAATGAAGCTGGCATAGGCAAGGAAACGGATGGTCCCTTAATTAACCCATTATGACCCATGTTGAACCTCTAACCCACAGAACTGAAAGGTAATAAAGCTCTGTGTTAACTCACTAAAGCTGTGACTTAAGTGCCATAGAAAGGAGCCGTAGAAAGCAAATACAGCCACATGCAAAGAAGGATTTGGGGTGATGGAATAGTGGGCAGGGGCAAAGGGGAATGAAGTGTTCCTTTCCTTGTGAGAACCTCAACGTCATGCACAGGAGTGTGGATTTTATCCTATTACGGATAAACAGTGGGAAACCTGCAGAGGACTTTTAAACAGGAACGTGCAGTGACCAGACTGCTGCCAGAGTCATCTTCCTAAAACAAAGCCACGTATATAGCTCAGTGTCAGGTTCACAGGGCAGTTTGACAAAGGGTGCCCAACCAGAGGTGGGCAGTGACGGATAGGGATCGGGAACCAGCGCGTTATGTGATTCGGTTCTCTGAATTGATCTGAAATGACATCCGTAGGCATGTGTGAAATTAATAACTTAAGGAAACTTTCCCTCGCAATTCTCAGTGGAAGGGCACAGAGGGTAAAGCAGGCAGGCCAAGTGGCATCGGACTGCTTTGTTTCTGCTCATTGTAGCAGGCAGCCGCTCTGCTGGCTACATCCCGTGCAGACCCGAGCGGGAGAGCTGCGAAAGCTCAAGTGTAACATTGTTAGCTTGAGAATGATGTTATGTCATCCGAGCCAACTCTGATTAGTTAGTAGCTGCCTGTAGAGCTTGCTGTAGGCTTGCACAGGCTCAGCTGAGGAGTTGCCAGGGTCAATTAGCAGCCTTTCCCATGGGCTCCTTATTTGCTGGGGGATGGTGACAGCTATAATACTAGGTGACTTAAGTTCTGTTTTAAATATATGGAATTTAA